TCAATTAAAAAAATCCCTTTTGCTACTGAATTATTAAATAAATAGACATAAGGGCTCAAGAAAACGGATATCTATAGTTTTTAATGTGAAAAAGAGGGCTCCCACTGGTATTTAGGGAAAAAAAAAATCCATGACTCTCCATGACCTTCAGTATTATTTTCCATGACCCACATACAACAGGTTGAGAAAGAAAAGTGTATGACTGACAGACTAACCCCACCAAATTGAACTATAGCGTCAGACACGCTCTACAAGTCAAATGCTTCAAATCGGGCCGCGCTAGAAGCCCTCAACAATCCACAACACCTTCACATAGACTTTGAACGTAAATCAGACGCACTTGGTGCTCAAAACGCATTTGGTGTGAACGCATTGTAAAGCTAGTCACACTTTTTTAAGCCCACGTTGAGCGTGTGCGAGCAGAGCATTCACATCACTTTTCTGTGACTTCTGCTGTTTTCTTGCTCTTTAAAGCGATATGTTGCATGTTTTCAGTTAGGAAACCAGTTTCAAAGCAGTACTGACTTTTAGCATCATTAAAAATACGACATGCAAAGCAAAACACAGCCATGGTGGATGGAGAATAAATCTGTCTATGTTTGGAGGTACTCACCACTTGGAGCTGGTTTTCATAACGCCATCTGGAGAAGAATCATTTCTGATTTTTTCTTTTTTTTTCTTTCTTTTTTGTAAACCTGTTCCAATGCTTAAAAATTAATATCCATATTTTGACAGCTCCCTGCTTCTTGCTCACTCCAGTAAGTCCACACGAACTCATCCAAAGCGCAGGATCAGTATTGCACGGATTATCCGTGGTCATCGTTGCGACTGGCGAAGAAGATTGCATTTCTATCGCCTCCAACTCCACAGACGCCAGATGGGACCGTAGAGTCACTGTTAGCAAGGCGAATGTTTTGAGAACCAGAGAAGAATTATGGGGTTTAAAAAAACCCTATTAACTTAGATATTTTCTTCATCACCTCTCTGCCGTGCTCTTCTTTTTCTTTCCTGTGCTCTGTTGTCATACTTTCTGTAGTCTGCCATCATGAGAAATTACTCCCTGATGATTATTGCTTATTCCCGATGATTAAATGGACATCTTCTCCCACTCCAAAACAAACATTGGGCATGTCTTGGAACGCCACGTGCGAGTTAAAGGGGGAGGCGATATGTGGCAGCGGCAACAGAAACGCGTAATTAGTAAGTCGCGTTATTGCTTGAATTTTAATCAGTATGTTTTGCCTCTAGTGAAAACAAGGATGTTAACAAATAAACTGGATGGTATGCTGGCAATTTAGTGACACTTACACAGTTACGGTCTTGACTGGTCTTGAAATAAAATCCCGAGTCCTCAAGGTCCGACACCGAAACGAGACCAAATGCGGTTGTGTCGGAGACCAGAACCACAGAAACACACACATCACAGGAAAACCCCCTAGCATTTTTGGCCTTATTTACAAATTCCATTACCTGAAATGAAACTTTTACTTTCCAGGTTTTCCATGACCGGTACAAACCCTGGAACCATTTCTATTCTGTCCATTCACCTTTCCAGAGTTTCGAGAACTCCTGGTAGTTTATGGAACGTCTTTAGAAATGTGAACGCTCACATTAGCATTCATGACGTTTATTCTGCTGCTGCATGTTTAGCATTGAGATTTTAGGTTTGAATAGCTTCACTGATAAGCTAACTCCTATTAGCACAACTTGAACACAATAGGCTTTTCCAGCGTTCATAAATTCAAAATCCAATCATATTGGGTTTTGAAACAAAACCCAATATGATTGGCTAAGCAACTTGGCCAATAGCAGCTTATCCGTATGTTGCTGTTTTCTGATGTGGCTTGTGCATCATATTTGCAGTTGTGCCTGAAATATGTGAATATATAAGTAAAAAATGTATTGTGTTAAAAAAATGGAACACATTAAAGTCTACAATTAAAGCAAAATTAACTTTTAGAGTTCCCAGCTCTACTTTTTACTGTCACTTCTCTGCTTTTCATGGAGCTTGTTCTGCACATGCTGGCTTTCACATTCAGCAGTGGGACTCTTTGCCCAGGCAGCCGGAAACCAAGATGCTATTCATGGCATCACACTGCAATCAGTCTGTAAAATATCTAGATTTTTGTTGTTGTTTTGTTTTTGTTTAACTTTGTTAAATGTGTAATTTATCTGCTTTTTGACTTGTGAGTGAGCAGTTTTGTGTGTGTGTGTATGTATCTTCAGGTATCAGGGCTACATTGGCGCTGCTCTGGTCCTTGGCGGAGTGGACTGTAATGGACCTCACCTGTATAGCATTTACCCTCATGGTTCCACTGACAAGCTGCCCTACGTCACTATGGGTCAGTTTGTCTCATTAATATAGCTTCTAGCTTTTCTGATAGTTTAAATGCAAACCATAGTTTCATTCAGGGGTGGAAATTAACACCCGCCACTGGCCAAATGCAGGTAAAAGTATGAAGTGGCCTGTAAATTGGAGCAATGCACCCGCCACTGTGGCGGGTTGACAATTTGAACAGAAAAAAAAAAGAAGCTGCATTCAGTTTGAACATCTGTCCAGGGGAGGACTGACTGTCTGGACTACAGACTGATGCATTTACTGTCTATATCTGGCAGCCCTACACTGTCATAATTTAACAAAAAAAAAAAGTATACTAAATATAATTTTTAGCGACCGCGACAGTCCATTGGTTGATTTTATTGACGGACATTGGGCTTCAATAAGCCCAATGTCCGTCAATACATTGTACCCGCCCCTCCCCTCTAAGGTTATAAATAGAGCCATTTCAGCTAAATGTTAGTTGCTAACCGGAGTCTGAGAAAAGTGAGAGATACAGGTAAGAAAAAGTACAACAAAAGCCAAAATGCGCATAAGCCCATTCAGAAAAATGTGTCAAACTAAGTGATATGTTTACCACACAAACTTTGACCGCTGGAGCAGATTAGTTAGCGATTCAGGGGCTTTATTATCGTCGGAGGAGGATGACTATGTGAGAGAACAGGGACAGAATGAGGAAGAGTTCGGAATAGCTGCTGCTACCTGGCAAAAAGGAGTGAAAATGTTCATAAAGGAAAGTTTCATGCGCACCGGAGGGTGGGTGGGTGGGTGTGCGTGCGTGCGTGCGTGCGAGCGAGCGAGTGAGAGACCATCCGTCCATGAGGAGGAAATCAACACTAAGCTCCAGGTAGTCAGAAAAACTCTGGAATAATGACGGCCTGTGGAATTAATAATGAACACATTCTGAGATATTTTAGTAATAATAATTGTGAATTTCAATAGAAAACGTAATAATTAAGGGAAAACAAAACAGTTAAAAAAACAGCTATTGATACCATTTAAAAATATTTTATAATAAATACTATCTGGGGGAGTTGTAGCCAAAATGGAGAAATGTTCAACATATGATTGCAAGAATGTTAGGGTTGTGTAGATAAAGTTTGCCGTTAGTAATTACATCAAATGAACTTATTGCACTTACAACCCTGTTAAGGTATCCGTGCTTATGTTAAATTATTATGTATAAGTACATGTGTATGGTAAACTTATTGTCAGTAAATCGGTTTTCATAGAGTTAAGAATAAATCATATTTTATATAATTTTCTTGTACTAGTGGGGTTTGTAATAAAAAAAACAGAGGCTGGTGAAATGTTTAAGTGGCTGGTAAAAAAAAAATTAATTTCCACCTCTGGTTTCATTTATTTGTTTTTACATTGTTTTTGTTCCTTTTATCCTCACTTGTTTCTGGGTAGATGTGGAAGAGTCAGTAATTTATACAGTAAAATGGATGTTTCCTTATTAGATTGCCACTATAATTTTCAATCAGTCTTCATTTGATGGTTTTATTTTCTAAACCAGGTAGAGGTTCAGATTCAGATTAGGGTTTTTTTGTCCTGTGCAGGTTAAGACAAAGTCAACAGGATGAGAAGAACTGCTTGACTCACTACAAAATCGAGAAATACTAATCACATTCAGTAGAAGTACACAAAAAATGTGTGGGTTCAGTTCAGGCTCAATAAAAACTACGTTTAGAAATACTACTCAGTTTATTCTTACTGCCTCGTACTTGCTACTATGCTTTTTTCTTTTCTGATGTAGTTTTTTGGAAGACACTTTAACGTTCTTTATTAATTGCACCTTTCTGCATCAGCAGTCTCTTCTCCCTGAGGCTTGTTTCTTCTTTGAATAAATCTGTACCACATTGTCTGTCAATAACGAAGCAGTCTTATTTCTCCCTTGGAGTTGGTCTTTCAAATCCCGGTAACCCAAAGCATTGTGGTTACTGAGGTTAGGACAGTGTTAGGTCAATGACCCAAGTCTCACTCTTCTTAAGGCTCTGGCTCTCTGGCTGCCATGGCTGTTTTTGAAGATCGCTACAAGCCAGACCTGGAGGTGAGCCAGTCACTGCTGTTGATCTGCTCAGTTTAACATCAGTTCAGTAACCATGATGGTTCATGCTTCACCTGAGCTTCCATGTTGCTGCTTCCTATTAGGAGGAGGAAGCCAAGCGGCTGGTGCGTGACGCCATCGCTGCAGGCATCTTTAACGACCTGGGTTCTGGCAGTAACATTGACCTCACCGTCATCACCAAGGGCAACGTGGACTACATTAGACCACACGATGAGGCCAACAAGAAGGGGGTCAGGTGAGAACTACTGCAACATCTGAATCTTCAATTGGATACTTCCTGCAGATTCAGACTGAATGTTATCAGTTTGATACATGTTGCTTTATAACATGTCTTAAAACGGCCCTGAGACTGCTGGCTCTAGAGCCTATTACACTAGTGGGCTACTGCATCCCACTAGTGTAATGGGATGCACCAGATTAATCCCATTTCACTAGTGCATACTTGTTGTGGCATTACTCATGTTACAATTTGTCTCACCATGAATACAGTGCATCACGTGTCTTGCATCATGTGTCCTAAAAAGCAGTTTTATTGCATGAACCTTGGCTGACAACTTGTTTTATTCCTTGTTCTCCCTGAAGACTAAATGAGCTTGAGGCCTTGCAGCTGTAAGTAAGATGGAGTGTTTTAGTGCAGACTAACTTACCAGCCACCATAACTTGTCAGAGTTCTCTACTAACCAGCTCTTACCAACTTTGTATAGCTAGAAGAGATGTGCCGATCAATCGGCCACCGATTTCCAACACTCACCCAGATGTGCATTACAGTCAGAAAGCTAAACAAACAACCCAAAAAATAAAGTCATCGGGCTAGCGGTGCAAGATGCTGGATTATGCCCTCTGCTGTTAGATTATGCGCTATTGATATTTCACAGATGTAGCGCTGTCCAAGCTCCATCAGAAAGTGGACTCTTATATTGAACAGCTTCTTAAAGCTGCACCATGTAACTTTTAAAAAAGTTTTTACATTAGCATTAAAACTTTTGTTGTGTCGTAATACGAAACATAAAATCTCTGAAGAAAAATAATCGAGCTCCTCTTTCTCCTCCTTGTGTTCTGCAGAATTACACAGCTCAGTAAGAAACAACCAATCAGAGCACCACAAAACAATTAGCCATGCTCTCAGGAAGTTTTGATTTAGTATATTAGGATTGTTTATTTGAAAACAACCTGCATTTGACTTAGAATGTTATTCTTTTTCACTTGAAAAGTGAATGACCGTGTTGTGAGATTTACTTGACTTGTGTATAGTTTAGGCTGTTGAGCCTTAGTGTTAAATATTATTTTACTGCTTGCAGATTGTTCGGTTGTCCTTTTGACTGAATACTTGCTGTGTTGTTCCTGCAAGTATTTAGCATGTTTTATGTCTAAATTATTGCCAGATCATTGTTCCAAATCACATGGTAGCATATAAACCTAAAGCAAAAAATTAACAGCCAATCCAGGTGATCGGCATTGATCGATGATCAGCCCTTATGGGTGATTGGAATTGACTGCAAAAAACCTGATCGGAGCATCCCTAATAGCTAGCATGCATGGCTTGCCTGTAGGCTGATGGTTCTTGTTGTGTGCAAATGAACCATGGATTTGAATTTGTCTTTGTTCTTGATGTGGTCCACACATAATGAATAAGGATTTATACTTTATCTTGTTCTTTTTCTCAATGTAGAACCGGTGATTACAAGTACAAAAGAGGAACAACTGCTGTGTTATCGAAGTGTGTAACCCCGCTGGACCTGGAGGTGGTGGAGGAGTCCATCCAAACCATGGACACTTCCTAAAATGTTTTTTTTTTTTTTGATGTACCTCTCCCCTTTAGAACACCTGACACACACATTATGTCCATGGTCAACAATAAAGTTTCGAGTTGACAAATTCATTTTTTTTTTTTTTTTAATCAAGATCAACATTTTAGTTCAACAAATGAGGAACACATATTACCATTGTTGGCAGTACTTTTAAGAGATTTTCAATAGTGAATAATTCAGACTGAAAATGAAAGACAAAGGCTGAATCCAGTTCAGGTTAGTGACACATAAGTGAAATATTTTGCTTATTCATTCTGGCTCTGCAAAGCATACTGCTAAAAACTGAAACTGTAAAATTGTAATTGGCATTTTTATTAAATCAAGCTGAAAGAAATTGCATCACTTTCTTAATTTTGAGGAAAATAACTTAGAAGAAAAAGCAAAAAGAACAATAGGAAATAATAGAATCTAAATAAACGGGCAGACGGAAAAAATAAAAAGGGAGAAAATGCAGAGGCAATATTAGAGAAACTACATCAGTGTATGAAGAAAATGCAGAGTATGGAAAATGTATTAAAAAATGAGAAACTAAATAAATTGAGAAAACTAAAACTGGAAAATTAAGTGATGAGTTGATACAGTAAATCACTGTATAATCAAATCAGTTGTGACAATCCTTGCATTTTATAATTTGGATGAAGTGTTTGGCACATTACTCACTTTATCAAGCCATTTATTTTTATATTTGTTCTCAGTTTTGGCAGGATCCCGTTGTCCATAGAAACTAAATTCTTAAACCTGAAAATGTTGAATTCTTCCTAAGCATGGGGCTGGATTTTCTCTGCTGTTTATGAGCACAAAAGTCATAAACATCACGTATAAACGGCTCACTTGGTGGCTTCAAAAGCCTTCCTACTAATCCAATTTGAATAACTTTTGGACCAAGCATATTGAAAAGGTTTTAAAATGGCACTGAAGCTGCAGTATGTAACTTTTTAATAAAAAAATATCTTTTTAGATATTTGTTGAAACCGTCACTGTGCCATGACAGTATAGCATGAGAGAGAATCTGTGAAAAAAAACTTGAGCTCCTCTGCTTTCTCCCTGTTCTACCAAGAAACAACCAATCAGAGCCAGGAGGCAGGTCTTAGCACTGTCATTCACAATCTCTTGTGGTACTGCACTGCTTATTCCTCCCCTTGAACTGTTTTCCTGTAACTGTTTCTCTGCCCTTAGCACATTTAGCAGGGAGTACTTGAGGTTGAGTGACAGCACTAAGACACTCCTGGCTCTGATTGGTTGTTGTTGCTGTCTGATGAAAATAATAGCTCTGGGAAGAGGTGGAAGAGATTTTTTTTTCACAGATTATTTATCTCGTACTGTTACTGTTATGGTGAAAGTCTTAAATATGTAAAAATTATTTTTTAAGTAAAAAGTTACAGACTGCACCATTAAATGTTCAACAATGTGAGATTGAAGTGGTTATCTGAAGAAAGTGGGAATTAATAAGTTAGAAATAGAACATCAGATCATTAGGTCTGTGCTCACATGGTCTGTAAGTATGACTCACTGGGATGCACTTCATTTGGAGCCAATCATTTGTTCAGTTGTTGGAACTTAAGTCTAATGACTGTAAGGTATGATGAGAGGAACAAACATTTCGACAGGATCAGACACCAGCCATAGAAAAACTCACCTGCTGAATGCTAATTCTGCTACTGTACCTCTTTACCACAGTCATGACAAATGGATTGGAAGTACTCACAGAAAAACATCTTGGTGCACTAAAGCACATCTCTTAGATTTTGTTTGAGAAATGGAAGCCAAGGCTGGTTTCTGAAGCAGCAGCTGCAGCCAAGCTCCTCAGATGGGCAGAGTGGGCTCCAGGTGGCGCTCAGGTGCTGGATGTCCACATGTGCATCTGTTTGGCTATCTGTAGCAGGAAGACAATGTCAGGCCTCTGGACTGGGTCTGGGTTGATGCACATGCTGACCAGGTCACGCAGCTGAGGATAAGGTGGGATTCATTATCTTTTTTTGTCAATAACAGAGAACTGTGTTTTACACCAGAAAAAAAATTCCTGTTTCACTTCAAAGGACATTTTCAACAAATGTATCTATTATAATAATATTATAAACCAATTTGTCCAATTTTTTTCCACTGAAATTAGTTACAAACAGCTAAATATATGTAAATTACCACTAAAAAAAGACGGTACTCTTTGATCTCAGCGGGGTCAGATGGGAGTGGAGGGTAGTCACACTGCTCAATCTTTTGACAAAATAATTAATTTTTAATTCTCTTAAGAATGTAGAGCTTAATTAAATGATCTAAACAACACCTTAAAGTGGTTCCAGTTTCTCTCGATGGCCAACCTGTTGAAACTGTGGCAAATTTTAAATACCTTGGGTTGTTCCTGAACAGTCAGTTCAACTTTGCTGAAAACACTGACTATATTTTAAAGAACTGTTCTCAGACACTCTACCTTTTAAGAAGACTTGGTGATCTTGGGGTGACCCAACTAGAGTCTAGTTGGGTCACCCCCAACTAGAGTGACCCAACTAGACTAGTTGGATCAACCCTATGTCTTGAATTTGGGAGGGGGGGGTCATATTTTATTTATCACTACAGAAGGGTTCAGTGAATGTGCATATGAAACTGGTGGTTTCGGTACCTCAAAAAAGGTTAAGAACCACTGCTCTAGTGTAAAGCGCTTTGAGTGGTCAAAATGATTGGAAAAGCGCAATACAAGTTCAGTCCACAATCCCCCACAGGATTCCCTCTAGGAGTATGGGGTACCGGGCCCTTTGATACGGGCTGTCAGGTCCCTGTGTGACCGGTGTCAGAATCTGGTCTGCATTGCCGGTGTTCTGTCATACCCGTCAATCCAGCGTACCTTGTGATAATCCTTGCGCACATCGAAATCTGCTGAGTAAGCACATCGAAATCTGCTGAGTCACATACTGCTTACTCAGCAGATTTCTTATAAATCCGTCATACGGGGCCGGTGTTCTAGACAAGGATACATGAGGGGGCAGGCGAAAATGCTAAGGGAGCGTCATTATGTATACATATTAGGGGTTGATAGACTTCATATATGTTAAGGTGGACTATAAAATGATAAACGTCCCAGATAGCACACGACGTTAAACCAACGTTGAATTATAGTTAGAATTGTTGATTTTTGGTTGAAGTCGACAAATGACAGTGGATCAACCATCAAACAACCATCCAATCAAACCGTTGAAACTGTGTCCCTGAGTCAATGTTGTTTTGTGGTTGATATCTGATGACTGAAATGCCGAGGTTTGATTAATGGTTGATTTGTGGTTGAAGTCGACAAATGACGGTGGATCAACCATCAAACAACCATCCACCTCTAGCCAATTAACTAACGTTGAAACTGTGTCATTGAATCAATATTGTTTTGTGGTTTGTGGTTGAAATCTAATGACTGAAATGCCGATGTCTGATCAACATCGGATCAATGTTGAATCAATGTCAGCTGTTTTTCCGCACCCCTTCCCCTCTTCTCCTCCTCATCAGCACTCTGGGTCATAGCATTTTATTACTGAGCGGGGATTATCACATTTAAATTAAGCACTGTAGAGGATAGTGGGTGAAGATTCCTTTCTGTACATTTTCTTACTTGTTCATAACAATTCTCACTGACTGTGTGTGTGTGATATATTGACACAAAAACATCTACAACGTACTAAAAGGAGTGGAGAGGTCCACCCCCACCATTTACATGAGTGGGATGTCCCAACCACACAGCTGCTTTGCTGTTGGCTTGTTGGCAAAAGACGTTAATCCAATGTTGAATTATTATCACAAAGGTTGAATGTATGGTTGAGGTCGACAACTGATGGTGGATCAACTATAAAACAATCATCCAACTCTAGCCCATTAACTAACGTTGAAACTTTGTTATTGAATCAATGTTGTTTTGTGGTTGACATCAAATAAATGAAATGTCAACGTTGAATCCAGCGTGTTTCAGCACTGGTCCTCCAGGCCCTACAAGTTTTAGGCATTTCCCTAATTCAGCACACATGATATTAATTGACGTCTGATTAACGGGGTTTTGCTGAACTGAAAACATGCAGGTCAGTTTGACTGAGGACAAGGTTTGGGGAAGATCTACCCAGATAGCACACGATGTTAATTCAGTGTTGAATTATTATCACAAAGGTTGCATGTATGGTTGAGGTTGACAACTGACGGTGGATCAACCATAAAACAACCATCCAATTCTAACCGTTGAAACTGTGTCAATGAATCAGTGTTGTTTTG